CCAGACTTCATTGCTACTGCCCCATGCTTTGTCTTACTTCCTTTTTCTATCCTTTAGCAGCTCTGGGTTTACCACCCATCTGAGCTTCCTCCACTCCCTGTGGCTACTTCTTCCTTTGGCTTCTTGCCAGACCCTGTAATTGCCAACACATCTCTCTCCTGTTAGGGAGTGACTGCAGACTACTTTTCTCAGCTGCTCCCCTTCTGTTCTCAGCTTCTTAGCTTTATTGAAGTCCCACCTGCTCCTGCCTAGGTTAGCTTCATCCTTAATTAAGCATTACTGAGCCCTGGCTTCCCTCCAGATGCAGCCTATGCTGTTAATTGGCCCATCTAGCATACCCTAACCCTTTCAAGACTGGTGTGGGGTGAACACCTCATCACAATCCCCAATTATTATTTTTTTAGTGGGGGGTGTATTATTGAGGGAATGGAAAGTGCTTATATACTGCCATGTAACTCATTAGATTTGTTAGGAGTCATCATTAGGTATTCATCTAACAAATAATCAAAAGAATCACTAGCATCACAACATTCATATAACCATTGTAACAGATGACAATAAGAATGTGTACAACTCATACTTTTGGCTGGTTTCGAGTTTTAAAGCTGACATCTGTGTATTTCCTGTGATTCATGTTACTTTCCTGTGTTTGTGATTACCTTTGCACCAGAGGTGGACATCACTCATGCAGCAACAAACAGTATACAATTCCTGTGTTTGAAGGAAAATTCCCATCTGGTTCTCCAAACACTTCTCAAAATTACCACCACTTTCGTGTATAGCTGTAAGTGGCAGATCACAGCTAACATGAAAGTGAGTTAGAAACAATATTTAAAGGGACAATATCAGGTCAATTTAGGCCACAAATACAGGTGTGGTAAGAAAGCCACATTTTACAAAATCCATCATCATCAGAAATAGGACCGTGATTATTCTTAATTTCAATTAATTTTACGTGTTCTTGCCTCAACACAGGGGGCTGGTCTAAATCACCTCCTGAGGTCCCCTCTATGATTCTAATTAAAATATTTTATTTTTAAAGAACTAATATTCTCCAGCAGTGTCTGAAACCCAAACGTTGCAGCATGATGCTAGTGTAGGGCTATGCTACGTGTACTTACATTGAGATATATCTATAGATCCTCCTACAAGGCAGAGGTCGTTTCCTCAGTATAACTAGTGGATGTGAACTCCAGCAGGGTGGGGGCACAGTCTTGACTTCAACTAGTTACACTGAGGTGAAAACTACCTGTGCCGTGTCTTCCACTAGGAGTTTACATCAAGACCAAGATAGCTAAATGGAACCAGAACATGAACCCAGCCACAATGGCATGTGAAACAGATGCAGCTGAATAATGAAAAAACATTAACAGCATTATGTTGATGGTAGAAATGAGTTTTGTGTTTTTAATACCCACAAGTGTTACTAATAACACAGATAAGGAAATCTGTCTGCATCTTAAAAAATAAAATATAGGAATTTTAACCCAACGGTGTCATAAGTGTAAAAAAGACTGAAAAGTAAACCTGAAGATCAATAGCAAACATTTGTATCCATCTAGGAGACTCAGGTTCAGGAACGAATAGATGTTCTTGCTTCCAGGTGACTGAGAGGCGTATGTGTTGTGGAGGTCACACACTCACTCTGCAAGTTGTTTGAACTCAGCAACACCACTTGTCTGCTGGCTTGCAGTGCTATTATTTCCGACTCCAGCACAAGTGATTCTCAGCTGACAGTAAAACATCAGCATTCAGAAAACGAACAATAGAGGGACTACAAATATAAATAAGCCAGTAATAGCAAAGGATGGTGGAAATCTCAAAGACCAGCCATCGTAAAGAGTGCTGTCCTGAGTTATTACTAAAAGATATGAGTCAAACATCCTTCCTTCGAGTCATGGGAAAGAGGACTAGAGGCCACTAGTTGCAACTGGTGTCACATCACAACATATGTAGGCACCGAATGGCTGCACACAATTCCAGTACCGAATTTCAAATATCAATAGCACATGACTGGATTTGTCATGCAAGTTCATGGTTAAAGGAACTCAGTGTCATTTTACCATTAAATTTCCCTATGCTAAGGCAAAATTCCCTGGCCCTCCTCTAGTTAAGGGAAAGCTCTTTCACCTCCTACCATTCACATCTAAACAGATACATTCAGTGATCCAAGAAAAGCTTATGCATCAGAAAATGAAAGAGGTTAGAACGGAGCTCTGAAGTTAAACTGCAAGAGATTTCCAAATTCTTCAGTTCTATTCATCCCAGCTCATCTGAATACATTCAAATCAAACTGCTCTTTAAGAATCCAGGCATTTAGTGTGTGGTTTCACTATGCAATACTTAAGCATGATCGTCATACAACCTAACATGTAATGGGTACTGTTTTCAAACATGAAACATTAATATTTTTTCTGAGCACATGCACAATTATTTACAAATACCTACAAATTCAGAGTTCATCCTGCCATAGTTCACTGAGGACCTGGTCCAAAGCCTCCTAAAGTCAATGGACATCTTTCCCATTGACTTCAGTGGTGTTTGGATCATGCCCTTAGTTTGCTTTTGGTGTGCACACAGTAGCTGTGAAGATGAAACCAATATACTAGTGCATTCACCACTGGAAACCATTGCCTAAAATAAATCAAGAGTTTGGGGAAAATTAGCTGCCTACGTACCTCTAAATGAGGAAGTACAGAAACTAATAGAACTACTGCAGAAGAAGGGGATTATCCACATAAAATAAATAGTTATGGTAGAAGATTAACGGGGGGACTTTAAGGGATTATTCAGAAGCTATTTAGGCAGATTCAGTAACTGGCAAATGCAATTTAAGGACACAAAAGCTTTGATGAACCCAGAAAGAGAAGACACAAAGTTTCCTGCAAAGTGAAGTAGCAGAAGCACCAGGATTTTTTCTCCCTACACGCCGCCTTCCCCCCCCCCCCCCAAACCCAGCACCAGATTTTACTGTTAGTTTTGAGTTGGACATCTAAACATAGAAGGATATGTTGGAAAGATTTACTAATAGCTAGAGAAATGAGTGGATTATTTCAGATGGCAAACTAGCCTTGTTAAACATGCTGATCTTATGCCCTGTGGCATTCCCCAGCAGTGAAAACAGGTGTTTTGATTTTTAAAGAAAAAACCAATAACTATTTAATAAAGGCTTTCAAAAAGAAGGTGACAGTTTTAATATGAAGCCTGCATCAACTTCTACTGCATATAACTCCAGTAACTTAGCTGTTAGCATAAAGATTACGAACCACATCAAGATATAAGGATAGATTTTTTTTTAAATGAGCACAGATACAAAAATGAAATTCATTAAGAGAGGGAATAATTTTATATGAATACTTGTGGCATCTAGCTCTTTAATATTTTACTCTCTTTTATGCACTAAGAAAAAAACAAATTCATTGCCTTAGGCAAAAGCCTGCCTTTATCTCTTCCTGCAGAAATCTGCTTTCACTTATTCTAAGAGGTGATCTAAAATTAGTATGTAAGATACCAACTAATTCCACTTGTTATGCAAGCAACATCGTTTAATTTGTAGGTTAGAGAGCAAGTCGCTCTTGTCTGGGATAAGTAAAACAACATGCTGCATTATGTTGCTCAGAACACGGAAAGCTAACATCAGCCCTTGGAAAGCAAGAGCAGCCCAAACCCCTAAACATCAAGAAACACTCGTTTACAACAAGCAAAAGTTATGCATACGTTTCTACTAGATAGCGACATAGCAGGTCCCACCACCCCCCTCGTACACACGCTGGGCTTGGTCCTTTCCTCTCCCATTGCTCGGAAAGCTGCACTCTGCATCTAAAAAATCTCCCAAGGACACTGGCTTGATCGCTCTTTGTCGTGCGTTTCGTTTTGGACTTGCGAGGATCAGAGAAGAGAGCCTGGCATTCTGCGAAACATTAACTTGCTGCACCTACGCGGTTTCGCTTCGCAGGGCTGCAGAATGTCAGGGACCTAGCGCATCCCTTTTTGCTTCAAGGGAGATAAATTAACAGCTCTGCCCCACGCCCTGAAGTATTAGGAAGAACTAACGCAATTCCCTTCAGGGTTGATCATCCGAGTGTCTGTTTCGCCGCGATCCACCACACTGCTCCGCTGTCTCTTATCGCCAACGGGGAGCTGAGCCATACCGCCTGTGCGCTGCCGTCTTGGCTTTATTGCCAAGGTGACTGCAAAGATAGCCGCTATCTAGCAAAGTTGATCGGAAAACCTTGACTTCTCCGGATAAGCCCGCCGCGTAGGCTCGGGCTGGGCAGCTAAGGGGAGATGAAGGATATAGACTAGACAACCAGGAAGTGTGCCCTTAGTCTAATTCACAAGTCCCTTTGCAAATACACAACTTCAGAACCTTGCGTGATGTTGCCTCCCAATCCCTCCCCGCCGTGAAACCGCAGGATCAAACACTGGCGGGTCCCCTCGCTGCCCTCCCATAACAAACCTGTTCAGTGCACAGAAAAGTCTCCTAGCCGGGAGAGAGGTAAATCGCCGGGACCGTTAGCGTCCAGCACAACTGCTCGGGGAATGCTGCCTGGCCACGGGCGAGCGGGCTGCTGGGGGCACTACCACCCTACACGACTTGGGCGGTTTTCCCCAGGGCGAGCCCCGGGCGGCAGGAGGAAGCCGCGCGTCCGGCAACAAACAAACTTATTTACCCCCCTCCCCTTGCAACGAGAACGGGCTAGAGCCGCCTCCCAACCAGGGCGCAATTGACCCGCCTGCAAAGAGCCACGCGTCTGCGGAGCGCGCCCGGCCCCGGCAGCCCGTCCAACCCAGCCCCGGGAGCTCCGATCCGCTGGCGGGCAAGGCAGCCGCTGCCCATCGCAGCCAGAGCTCCGGTCCCTCTGAACGCTCCTGCCCTTTTTCACACCGCCCTCCCCTACTCCCCCGCCGCAGTCAGCCTGTGCATTGAACTCCCAGCGTCGCCAGCATCTCTGCTCCGGTCCCGGGCTTACCTTCCAGCCGGCTCCGGCAGGCTGCGAGCCGCAGTCGGATTCCCCCCGCCCGGCAGCGGCTGCTCTGAGCCTCGGCTCTGTGCAGCTGAAGAGCCGAGCGTCCTTTGCCCGAGCGCTACCTTCCCGGTTTGCCGTGCAGCCCGGAGGTATGTTGTTAAACCGAGCCGCCTTTGGCCGTAACATTGAACGTCAGAGATTTGGGAGCGCGGAGCAAACCCCACCCTCCAAAACCTGAGCCTTCGCCGCCCGTGGGGGGGTTGGGGGGAGAGGAGAGAATTAAAGAGCAGGCGTGTGTGTTAACTACAAGCGGCGCGGCTCCGCCATTAACCCCTTTCCTCCTAGTCCCCTGCCCTCCGTGCGGGGAACGGCGCAAAGGTTCCTGGCTGCAATGCCTCTCTGTGCGTGTTAACATGCCCCTGATGCGAGGGAGGCAGATTTGCACGGCTCCAGCGCACTTTCAGTCGCTGTTTCCATTACAACTGCTTGCCGGGTTTACAACTTTGCTGCAGAAGGAGTCATTCCGCTCTCCCTTGCAGAGAAAAGGCTTTCAAGGAGTCACTGATGATGATTGACGTGACAGTAGCATCTGGAGGCACAACCCCGATCAGGACCCCGTTCTGCCGGGTGCTGCCCCAAAGAGCTTACAGTCTAAACACACCAGACAAAGAGGGGAAAGAGGACCAGAGAGAGGAAGTGACTTAGGGTCTGTCTACACAGCAAACAACCAACCAACCCCTCCAACAGGACTTGGAGGCCTGGGTCTACACAGACTCTGGCTCACTCTAAAAATAGCCATGTACCATGGGCTGGAACTCTAAAACCCATCCCTGGCCCAGTTAAGAGCCAGAACATATACAGGGCTATATTTTGCACTATAGACCCAGGCTCTGAGACTGGCTGTGGCAGGGTTTCTTTTTGCAGCGTGGAGACACAGCCAAAGTCACAGTAGTTTAGCGGCAGAGCTAGGAATAGACACCTATGCTCCTGGCCCCCAGGCTGATGCCCTATCCACTGGACTAAATTAGGCTTGGAGGGGTTAAGATTTTTATCAGTAAATGTCACTTTCACCATACACAAAGGGACAAAAAATATTTCCATGGCTGACAAGTGCTGTTTACAGATAGGCAAAGTAAGGAAAATGCTGCTTGAGAACTTATGAGTTTAATTTAAAGATATTTACTTGGTATATTTTGATGTGTGATGGTGACAATTTGTGTTATAATGATTATAAAGCTTTAACTTTTTAATCTCAATGTTTATTGGTATTGAAATAATGATTGCCTGGCACACACACCCTTAATTTCTCACTACTGTGAAAATTTATATCAATAAATTTTTTTAAAAAATACGTTTAAATTTTCACAGTTGTGCAAAATTGTGGGCTTTAATAGATAAAAATCTTTTTAAAATGCTTAAAATGAATGTAGATATTATCCTTGGAAATTAAAAAAATAAAAATCAAGTTCTTCCAAGTCTATGTTCCCACCCTATTTAAAAACAAAAAGCAAAACAAAAATTTATTTCTCTGTTTACTTTTACTCAGAGGCTTCATTTCAGAACATTAAGACTGTTTTTTCTTTTGATGTTGATAAAAAGGCCTGGATTCTATTCAGACAAGATATACTTTGAAAAACTCTAAAGTTTACCCCAGCAGCATGCCCCTACTGGTTGGGGGAAGGGGGCAAGGGGTGAGGCCAATTGGTTCTCCTTCCCCCACCTGTGCTCCCTCCTCAAGACCTAATGATCATAAGAGCACATGCCTGCGCACCATGCCTTAGGCATAGGGGTGGCCAGAAAACAACAATTCCATTTTGCAAATTGTTTTTTTTTCCTACATAGGAACAAAAATGAGACATTTCAAAAATTTTAATGGGGAAACAAGAGAAAATGAGAGAGAGAGAGCAACAGGCACCAAAATAACCAATAGTGATTAGGGCATTTGGCTGGGAAGTGGGAGACTCAGGTTTAAGTCCCTGTTCTGCTTGATTCAGTGCTCAAAATGCCAGACTGTGGATTCCATGAAACACTCAAAATGGTAGTTTTGATAGAAAAAGTTGTGTCAACATTTTTTCAACCAGCTCTGCCCATGCAGCCCATGCTCCCCACCCTCTTGGTCTCAGTGGAAGTATAAGTAGCAGCTCTTGCAGTCTAAGCAAGCCCAAGAGCCAGAAGCAATCCCCTTCAGAAGGAGCAAAGAACGAAGCCCACACAGCACCCTACTGGTTTACACCTGTGAACATTAGTGATTTCATCAGATTCCGACTTCGTAAATTACAACTCTGGATGTTGTTTTCTATTTTACCTACTGGCCATTTGCTCTGCTCCAAGCCTCACTCTCCTTGCCCTCCATGCTTCTCACCAGCCTTTCTTCGCCATTATTTCCATTCACCTTCAATCTCCCTAGTCCTCTTCTTTTGTCCTTCCCATTCCCTTATTCCTATGTATCCATCCCTACCTGCATGCCTTCTTCGTCACCCCAACCTGACCCCTCATCACACACTTAAAAAAAATCCCAAAGAAAAATCAACTCAGACAAGAAGAGTAGAACATACATGGTGTTTTCCATCACTATGATTGTTTTGCAGATATGGTATATCCCTCTACATTTCCCTTTGCACCTGTTTTCTATGTAGATTTAGCTCTTTGGAGCAAGACCGTCTCTCCCTGTGTGTAGGTACATCATCTGATACCATGAAGATATCAATCCTGATTAGAGCCTCTAGCTGTTACAAATAAGTAAGCCAACAGCTACTTAGAGATCCAAAGTTATTTCAAGACATAAAAAGGAAGGAAATTTGTGTTTAAAGCTGTAGGTGGGACTCGCCTTTACACCTGAGTTGCAATCTAAATTCAGTGTATGTTCTTAATGACTGTGCAAGCAGTGTCTTTAGTGCAAACAGGGTGTTTAACCTTAACTGTGCATCTCCTGGGTTTTGGTGGATTAACTGAAACTCTGATTATATTTAATTATCTCCAGTGCAGCTCTCTATGCACATTGCCTTGCTTTATGGTTTAATAAACTGCACATTGATATAAACCAAATGACAATTAACATTAGTGCAGGTTGGGTTTGCATTTATTGCTGTTCCTCGGTCTGCACACCACATGCTTCCGCTCTGCAGTTTCATTGCCATTTATCAGCACCTCCTTATTGGAACAGCTCCTGGCTTTAAAAACAAATCAATTGACTTTTCCCAAACAGCTAGGAGAGTGAGGATCCTAACAACAACTTGACCAGTTTTCTGTCAGAAAGCAGGAGAGCTCTCTCAGACAAATTGCAGGGATTAGCATTCTCAGACTGCACCGCCTGGGATATTACAAAAGGCAGTGAGGGCGGGAAAACGTTAGCATGTGTGAGTTTCCCAGTACCTAAGAAAGAATCACACAGTATCAGGGTTCACCCCCACCCCCCAAATCCCTGCTATTGGCCCAATCCTGAGGGCATCCCCCACGGTCTTTGATGGGAATGGACATTGCTCAGCATCTATGAGCACAATCTAAATAAACAGACTCAAAATCCAATAAAATGAATCAGCCTCCCACAGTGAATTTAAGAGGGACACAATCCTGCTTCCACTGAAATCAACTCCCGATTTGAGATTGGATGGGAGCTAGATCTGGTAGATGTGAGAAGGATGCCTTTGACCAGCACATGATTGAATTCTAGTGCTGTATTTCATGAGCTGTTCCATAAATGTTATTTATTATTTGCATAATCTCATTCTGATTTATACAATGGTAACATGTGCTCAGTAATCCTATATATATATATATATATATTTCAGGTTTAGCTCCGAGTGCTTTCAATTTGGGAGTGCCTGTGTCTCCAAGGTCACCTCATAAATCCAGGTATTGTGGCACTGCACTGCCAATCTGTGTGGGGTATAATAACTCTTAAGGGAAATCAACACTGAAAATGCTTCCGAATTTTTCAGAAAGGACATGTGTAGAATACATCATCATAGCCCAGCTGAGCATGCAACATCTTTGCAAACACCAGAGAAATACATCACATCCCCTCAATTGGGTGGTGAGCAAAAGCAAATAATGTGCAATAGGTAAATCATGGGACAGCTGTGCGAAGAGATTACTTGCTTAAGCAGCATTTCACCCGTGCACATTTTCCGTGCATATTTTATAACCCATCACTGAACAAGCCCACCTGCTTTGTTCTAAATAAACTCATGAAAAAGTCAAAGGTGGACAAAAGCAGTCACAAATCAAAGGCCCTAGCTCAAAATTCAGATGCATTCTGTTTAGAAAATAGTCTAAAATATTTCATAGACAGGATGATAAATTCAGCTACAAAACTGCCTTGCAGACTGTTTTAAGATCAATTGTAATAATAAGGCTGACATTTTGGCCAATGCCTTACAGACCAACTTTCAGAAGCACACAGCTATGTAATTGTACTAGATGATTGACAATCAGAATACCAGTTTCAGGGCATCATAACAAGAACAGTACATAGCATGATAATAGTAATTAAACACACAAAACCTATGTTTAATTACCATGAAGGCTGCAACACATGCTGGCAAGCCAATCCAAGTAAAATGTAAAAGCTGGCACAATCCTTAACCATTCTATCATGTCCAGATATAGAATTATAAACGAGGACCTAAGGAGTCTGGCAAACATATGTACCATGTTGCATATCCAGTTCCTTCCTCCTCATTGCAGTTTCATTGTACATACCCTGAATTGCATGGCTCTGGAGAGGTTTATTCTATGACAAAATGTCAGGACAAGATATATGAGAGCTGGGGTGAAGTCTCAGGATTAGGGATGCAGAACCCACCGCCCAACTTCACTTGGCAGTAGCTTCATTATCCTAAAGCTTGTGTCACTCTTGAAAATGATTTTTACTTGTACACTGAAGCCTTCATTAGGTAACCCCGTCTTAAGTAACTACTTCAAAGTATCCCCAAGGTTTGCAGTACAATTCTGTTTGACCTTTAATTAAATACCAAGGCTATCTTTAGTAGGCAAAGGGTATTTGCTAGTTCCTCAGGGGATTTTTAATTCTAGCACTTCTTGTAGCTCAATGGTTGCAGTGAACAGGGATTTGTGCAGATATGTTCTTCTGTTTTGATCTGTGTGGGCTCCTACCCCATGAGTTTCACTTTAAGTCGCAGGTTCAAAT